ATTCTTGTAAAGAGTTGCAGTCTCAAATGGGTGCATAAGCAAATGTGGTGAAGAAAGCTGATGGTGACCGGCAATCAAAAGATATAGAGTCTGGGTTCTTAAAGGCTTCAAGATAAACAAGCGGCCATCTAGCTGAGAAGCAACCAAGCCCACATGGGAGAAGCACACCAGCCTGCGTGACCACGAGCTGTCTCAGGGATCAGGTATCAAGCATCAAAGAACAAAAAATCATATCATTGTAAATGAGGGTGAGTGCAGAGTGGAGACTCAAAGTCCATCGGTCGGCAACTGAACACCCCTTACTGAAGGGTTGTGGGGAGGAGATGAACTAGTCAGGGTGCAGGGTAGCAACGATGAAGCATATAACTTTCCTCTAGTTCTTAGATGCTTCCCCCCACCACCACCACCACCACTATCATGATCCCAATTCTACCTTACAAATCTGGCTAGACCAGAGGACATATACATTGGTACAGATAGCAACTGGAAACACAGGGAATCCAGGACAGATGACTCCCTCAGGACCAGTGGTGAGAGTGGCAATGCCTGGAGGGTAGAGGGAATGTGGGGTAGAAAGAGGGGACCAATTACAAGAATCCACATATAGCCTTCTCCCTGGAAGATGGACAGCAGAGAAGAGGGCAGGGGGAGACATCAGACAGTGTAATATATGACAAAATAATAATAATTTATGAGGTATGAAGGGTTCATGAGGGAGGGGGAAAATGAGCAGCCGATACTAAGGCTCAAGTAGAAGGCAAATGTTTTGAGAATGATGATGGCAACAAATACACATATGTGCTTGACACAATGGATGGATGGATGGATTGTGATAAGAACTATACGAGCCCCCAATAAAATGATAAAATAATAAAAGGGGAAAAAAAGAGTTGCAGTCTCAGAAACCCACATGGGCAGTTCTCCCCTGTCCTGTAGTTAGTTAGTTAGTTAGTTAGTTAGTTAGTTAGTTAGTTAGTTAGTTTTGAATAAGGAAAACCCTCCGGAATCTTGGTGATGTAGTAGCTACGCACCGGGCTGCTACCTGCAAGATCAATGGTTCAACACTACCGGCCACTCCACAGGAAAAAGACGAGGCCTTTTACGCCCGTAAAGATTTGCACTTTACCCACAGGGGCAACCTACCCTGTCCTGTAGGGTCACTGTGAGTGGACATGGACTTGATGGGGTCAGTTGGGTTTTTTGTTTTGTTGTGTTTGGGTGGGAGGACCCTCCCCATGATGGCTCAACTCCGAGGAGGACTCTGACGAGGGAGGATGGTGCAGGCCTGGGCGGAGTGTCCTTCTGCGGTGCCTGGGGTCACGATGGGACAGAACCCCCTTCTAGCAGCAGCAGCAGCAGCAGCCGCAGTAAGATCTTAAGCCAGTGTGCTGAGGGCTGGCTCTTGGGCGGCCCATTTCCATACTCCAGAAGAATGTTCTTTGGGAGAAAGATGAGGCTTTCTGGTGTGTCCCCCGCCCCCCTGTAACCAGTTACAGTCGCAGAAGCCCACTGGGGCCATTCTGCCCTGTCCTGCAGGTTTGCGGTGAGTCAGGCTGGACCGGCCGGCCGTGAATTTGGTTTTGGTTTGAGCGTGTGTCTTTGAAAGATGGGGCCCATAGCCTCCACGAGCCCAGCCTGCCCACATGGTCAGCCTTTGAACACAGGAGAAAGTGGCCCACAGTCACTCAGAGAGTGGAAAGAGATGGCCCACCCCTGCTTCTCAGACCTCCGAGGGGGCACAGCCCCCCACCGTACACACACTGCTGGGAGCTGCCTTGCAAGGCAGAGACAGACACGTCTTGGGGGTGACCCAAACATCTCGCCGGCCGCCGAGCTTGGAGAAGGGGTGGGATTTGATATGCCAGATGTCTTTTTTTCCCCCTTTTGAATGTAGACATCTGTTGTCATATAAATAAAGTGCAAAGAATAAATATTGTAAAAGCCATTAGAGAGTGGATTTAGGGCTGGTGGGAGGCGCGGGTCAGCGGCTGCCGGGCTGCTTGGTGTGGGAAAATGCCACCCTGCACGCGGGTGTTCCCAGCTCCCAGGCGGCCACAGCATCCTGGCTGGGCACACACAGGGCTTACCTTTCAGACGCATGTGTGCGCCCGGGGGCCAGTCTCCTCGTGTTTATTTTATCACATTAACAGCTTCAAATGGCTCCTCAGAGCCTTTCTGCTTTCGCCCTGCACACTGGGGAGAGAGGGGGAAGGAGGAAGAGAGAGAGAGGTCCCTCCCCGCCCCCAAGCAGGATTATCCCACATTTCCTGGTAGGCCCCCCCACCCCCACCCCAAAGTCCCAATTAAGCCTGAGACAGCTCGCCGATATCGAGTTTAAACTGAAATTCCACGCCGCTTTCTGTTGGCGACTAATGAAACGCGCTTTATTTCATAACGCTTGCGCTGGCTTCTCCAACTTAAATATTTGCTCTGATGGCCAACCGTCTGATCCCGGCTGCGTTCGGGGCCGCAGCATAATTGCTCCGGGGTTATTTTTCTTTGGTGCGAGGTCGAATCCTGCAGGCGGGATCTCGATTCTCTGGTTCCGGGCTCCTGTCATCTGCGCCCGGGGCCGGAGGCTGCTGCTCTTCCACCCTGTTCACGTCTGTTCCTCCTCCCGTCGGCCGGGCCCACGGCAGAAGAGATCATTGTAAAGGGATTAGACCCCAGACCGAAACATAAAATAAAACGAAACGAAACCTTTTGCCTTGGGATCTATGACACCTCCTGGCCAGCCCATAGAGCAGAAACCTCTGGGCGGGGGGCACCCTCCGCAGCAGGGGGCCTGAGAGAGGCCCACAGCCACTGCTTTCTCCCTCCCTCAGCACGGCTGCTGGAGTAGAACCGCTGACCCGCGGGCGAGCAGTCGGAGCTGTCGGCAGGGCCCCGGCCCAGACTGCTCTAGATCTTCCTAAGGGAAGATGTGTTTTTCGTTTGTTAGTTTTTGTTTGTGTCGGTCGCGGATTGGAAGCAAAGGCTTCCCAAGGAGGCAGTCTTCCTTCAAGCCCCATGGTCAGTCGTCTCTGGTCTCCGTTTTCCCACTTCGGGGAAGGGTTGGAATTATCCAGGTTCCCCCGGGGGACAGCCCTCGGCCGAGTTGGCAGGAAGAGAATGCTTCTCCCATCTTCCTCTTCCACTTCTTTTCAGAGCTGGGCCGCTGCTGCCCTGTGTCCCTCTGTCTTTGGCGGCCTTCCTGACAGACGTCTGTAGGATGATTGTGGCGGGACGATGGTTTCGCCAACAGGGTAGTCAGATCCCCACCCTCTAGTTTTATCTTTGCAAGCTGCCTTTGAAAGCGGCCCGCCCGCCCGCCTGCCTGCCGTAAAGCCATTCACGGGGACAGCAGTGCCCGGAGAGGCTGGTTCCTGACACCGGTCTGTCCAGGGCTCTTTATCTAGGCAGCCCCATAAACAGAATCTGCCCCAGGTCGAGCAGGGGCCGGGGAGGGGTGGCTGGGGGCGGCAGGGGTCTTTCCCAGTGAAAGATGCATTTATTAGCAGGGGCCAGCGCCTGGTCGGGGCCAGCGGACGGGTGAGGGTGGGAGGGTGGGGGAGACGCCAGGGCCAGGTCTGCGTTCATCCTGCTGGAGTGAGTGTTTGGGCCTGTGATTTACACCCTCCAGGTGTGCGCTGGGGGCCAGCCCCTACCCCCTCACCCACCGGCTGCCTCTGTGGTGGGGGGGGGCGCATTTGCAAAGTCGGCCTATTTTTTATCCCTCAGGCAGATTGGGGGGTGGAAGTGGGCCTGGCAGCTGGTGTTTTTCAGTTTCCTTTTTGAATGGGGAGCCCGCCGGGGGTCTCCGGCCCCTCCCGGAGGAGGCAGAAGCCGGGGGTGGGGGGGTGGGGGTGCCCGGAGACCCCACCTGAGCAGCCAGTCCCTGTTTGCAGGTGCCTCGGTCTCTCAGAAGAACCGAGGGCCAGGCAGTCATTCCCTCCCCCCTGTTGGCTCACAGGTGGGGCCGGGTGTGTTAGTCCCGTGTTTCCCAGGGAGTGGCCACGCAGGGCTGGACCCGTGCCCTGAGCCTGCCATGATCGCCCGGCAAGAACTCGCAGCCCCTTCGTGGGGGCACTTGTGGGTTCTAGACGCGACTCGTCTGCTGGGTCCACCTCCCGGAGGGCAGTCAGCGGGCTCACACCCACCTTCCCACGGCCTCTGGTGAAAACCGAGGAAGCAGCTGCTGTCCTCTATTAACAATAGACCTGTCTTTGGGGGGGCGGCATTTGTAGGGAACGGGCCTTGTTTTCCACATTTCCTCTCACAGCCAGCAAGCTTTGACAGCGGAAGAAACCATCTTTAGCATTGCACTGGGTCACTTGCTACATTGTTGCCAGTTCCGTGAAAGATATCCTTCCCAGTGGCACAGCCCCCTGCCTCAAGCTTTGTCCCACACACCCCATCACTCATTTCAGAATTCCCTGCATCACCCTCTGTTGAAACTCCGGACCCCTTAAGCAGTCTCCCAGGGACTTCCCCTCCCTCCCCCAGACCCTGGTCACCCCTGGGTCCAGCCGGGCCTCCACAGCGGTGTGGTAGAGGAAGGAGTCCTTTGCTTCTTCCTCCGAGGCTTCTGCAGACACAGGCCCCTGGTCAGACCCTGAAGCCCTCTTTCAAGGAAGAGCCCAATCCCTTATCCTCTGTCCTCTGGAGTCAAGTCCAAGTTTGAACCCCTGGCATGAATACCCGCAGATGCTCCCTGGCAGGAACCCGGACCCTGCCCCTGCGTGTGTGATCGCTTCTCCCCAGGCGGTGAAGAGCAAGATCTCCCCGGTGCAGAAGCCCAGCCCCGACTCGCTCCCCATCAGACTGTTTATAACCACCCGCCCCCGGGCCACAAGAAGAGAGAACCAAATGCCGGCAATTCAACAAAGACTCTCATTTCCAAACAGGAGGACAGCGGTCAGTCCGTCCCCGAGATCGCTGGCGGCCTGGGATCGTGGCTGCGGTCGGCTGCCGCTGCGGCCCACCATGGAAAACGCGGCTGGGCCAGGAAGGGACCCAACGTTTAGAGTGACCGGTCTTGCCTTTGCGAGGTTCACGGATCCCATGTACAGGGGCTCCTGGGTCTCTCTCAGAGAGACCCAGACGCCCACCTGTGAGCACAGGAAAAAGCCGTGACCACCAGCACCGAGGAGTTTATAGTGTCTCCCATGAACTCACAGGGTCCGGCGCCTGCCTGCCTGCCCTCCGCCCGGGCAGCTGAAGGATTGTGGAGCTGAAGTGCCAGGTTCTTGTGCACTAACCTCGGCTTGGGACCCCCTTGAGCAGGTGAAGGGGGTTTTGCTGTGTGAGAGTCTGACGCCGAGGAACAAGCAGCCTACAAGGACTGTCCCTCGGAGAGCAGACCGCGAAGATGGCAGAGACTTAGCCGGGCCGCGGGCTGGCCAAACACAGACAGATTAGTAGCCTTACTTTCTAACATGTAAACATCTGAATCCCGTTTCCTGTGGAAGAAGAAGGGAGAGGAGAGACAGAGAGGGAACTTCATGGAGGTGGATGCCCCAGGCACTTTTTTTTTTTTTTGATTAACAAATGTGAATTGTATATCTCGGTGGGGAGAGGGGTGGGTGGGCGAAAGCCCCGGCCCACGCTTGGTGGTCTTGCTACAGTCTGGATATGAGAGAGGGAATGGGGACCTGCATGCACACACACACACACACATACACACACACAAATAAACATTACCTCCTCGCTCACAGGGTGGGCAATACCACTGTGACAGCGTCCGCGGCTCTGGGCAATGTAACTGCACCCACTACAGACAACAGCCCGGAGTGCCTCCGCACAGTCCAAAGGAAAACATTCCCAGAATTCCTGCCACTGGGCCCTCTCCCAGGCCCCGGACCGGCCTGGCTTGGCCCAGGCGCTCTGACCCCCTGGCCAGTCCGGCCAAGCGTCCCTCACCAGCCAGCCCCTCTGGGAGGCTGGAGATGGTAACAAATGGACCGCCTCACCCCAGGGGCCCCGGCCAGGCACCAGATGCAATCTGCTCAGCAGGAAAGAGGCTTTGGTGATCCTGGTCCCCTCCGACAAGCTATGTTTTATAGGATTTAGGCTACCATTTAATATTGGAGGTTGGGACATTGGATTCTACGTCCCCAAGGCTAACAACAGCAGCTGGGCGTCTTTGGGGAGCCCAGCACCCCTCCGCCCTGGGCCTTACATAACAAAGACTATTTATGTCACACGCCTTATAAGGAGACGTTCCCGTCTGGATGTCACCTCCACACCCGTTATTACTTTTCTGTGTGTTTAGCAAGGAGGGGACGGGGTTAAAAAAGAAAGGAAAAGATTTTCCAGGGTGACAGATTCGTGCGGATTTGACTCATTAGCTGTGGGCTTAGCGGACTCAAGGCGCGTCTTGGCCTTCACGTGCAAACACTCCATCCGACGGGCCTGCTTGACACTGGACAGACTCAGGCCCTTGGACACAGGGATGCAGGGACCCAGAGGGAGGGCAGGCCTTGGTTATCTGAGAGCAGGGACTGAAGAGCCCTCGCTGACCCTTACACATGGCCTCCGTTTCCTGGCTGTGGTTTTAGAATATTCTGCACCCGGACTTTCCTCTGCCTGGGGAACGGCCGGCAGGCAGAGACAGGGTGCTCAAGACAGGGAACCGGGCCCAGCAAGGGACACCCCAGCTTGAGGCGGCTGCCCCGTTGGACCCGGAAGGGTCTGAGCCCCCCTCGGTTCCCACGACGGCCAACGGGCTATTTCCCCCCAGGGGGGTGGGGAGCAAAGTCCTCTGACTCCTGTGTCAGCCGGGCCTGGGCGATGACCCAGGGTGGACAGGTCTCAGAGGCCCGGCTTCCTCCTTATCTCGTCTGCTCAGAGCTGAGCCAAGTGGGAGGGAGAACAGCACCCCAATTAGCAAAGCCCGTGACTCCCGCGGGGCCAGGCCCCGCTTCAGTTTCCCGGGACTTATCGGTCAGCTCGTGCAGTGACCGCGGGTTAATGAGGACGTCTGCTGGAGCAGTGGCAGGCACGGTCATCCATCTCCCCCACTGGGACACGGAGGCCACAGGACGTGCAGGACCACTCTCCCCGAGGGCCCGTGAAGCCTACGGACTCCATCATAGGCTCCATCCGCTGGCGGGGGGTGGGGGGTTGTCCATTCTGGTCTGTTTAGAAGTCACTGGCTGCCCAGCCTGCCCCTGTGCTTCCTTCTCGGGTGACGGCGTCCGTCTGCATGCAAAGTGGCCACAGGCATCCTCCCTCCCTCCAGCCGCTTGGCCTCATGGAGGGAAATGCTGCCTGGACCCAGGGTGGCCGCCTCTGGGTACCCAGAGAGCCTTCCAACACCAGGGGCTCCTCTCCTAGCATGGTGGCATCAGGCAGGGTCCTGGGTGACCCCGAAGGTCTACACTGGCTGATGAGGGGAAGAGGTCACTGCCTGGTCTTCTTCCTGGTCTCCGTCACCAGGACCACCCGCCGCGGGAGACCCTGCCAACATCCGAAATGCCGGCGGCGCTGCTTTGAGCACCCTGAGAACATTCACTACACTGCGGACTGGCCACACCAGTCTATCGAGATCAAACATCCGTGGCAATGCCCGGTCTTGGGGTCCGACAGCCATCTCCTGGGCAAGTCATCTGGCTGCTCTCAGCGGCCGCTGTCCCACCTGAGCTGGAGGGGTGCCGGAGGCTGCACCTCACTGGGCTGCCAGCCAGACCGGACGAGGTGGGTCTGACCGGGGCTGGGCACCTGCAAAGTATCTGGACAGGGAGAGACCATGAACTACATCTGGGTTGTGTCCCGGCTCCGCCGCCCCATGGATCAGCCTTGAGAGGCCCCGCTGGGTGTGGTGGCTGACCCCTGAGTGCCCACAGGAGGGGTGAGCATGCCTACTGCACAATCAGCAGCCATCCTTGGGCCCACAACTGCCCCCAGGCCTCTCGGCGGGGGTCCCAGAAAGCCCTGGCCACCCACCAGCAACTTGGCCAGCCTCGCAGGTACCGGCACCCTCTGGTTTCTGTCCTGCCTGCTGTCTGTCTGGATGGCAAGCCCCCCAGGGATAGACTCCTTCTCAGTGAATACCTTCAAAGCCCACTCGGCCGCTCGTCTGCGAACATCAGGCTGCTGGCTGTGGAGAGAACCGTAAACACGGCATCCTGTCCACTCAGGACGGCAGCAAGGGCTCCCCAGGGTGGCTGCCGGTGCCAGCAGCTGGGCGGTGGGGGCTGAAGAACCAGGCCTGGGAAACCAGCCCCAAATCCGCAGCTGCCCCAGCCCCACCGTGTGTATCCAGCAAGCTGTGCATCCCTTCCCGCCTGAGCGAGGCCCGGGGCCTGCAGACGCATCCCGTGGGGCGGCAGCAGTGGCGCAGCGCACGCTGGGAGACAAAAGCATGGGAACCAGTGTTTGCCCGACAGGCACCTGCACAGACGCGGGCCAGGGATGGCTCCTCAGAACGTGCCCCTTCCAGGAGGGGGATCCGCGAGTTCCATTCCCGCCAGCGGGTCTCGAGCGCAGGCTCCACCCGTCTGTCCCTGGGGGCCAGCGGGTTGTTCTGATGCCGGGCGGGAGTCAGTGGAGCTTCTCGGCTGAGACAGACGAGGAGGAAAGGCCCGGCGATGGACTTCCAAAGAGCAGCCAAAGGAGGGCGCGGGTCCTGAGGCTCTACTGCGCCCCTGGTCCCGGGAGGATGCCAAAGGACAGTTGTGTCTGTCTGTGAGTGTGTGACTCTGTGTGGGTATGGGTGTCTCTGTGTGTCTTTGATTGTGTGTGTGTTGATCTGTGTACCCTGTTTCCCTGAAAATAAAACAGTGTCATATTAATTTTTGCTCCCAAAGACGCGCTAGGTCTTATTTTCAGGGGATGTCTTATTTTTCCATGAAGACTATGGTACACATTTACTGTTTATTGTTTTATTAAAAGAGACCTTGTACTTCCTGTCTGCTCTGGTTGCACTGCGGCCAACAGTGAGCTGCATGGTGGTGCCCGCTGCTATGGTCCAGAGTCCAGAGTTATGGTAGCTTCAGGGGCCCTTATTTTTGGGGGGAGGCCTTATATTTCAGCGAGAGGCAAAACTGTAAGTAGGTCTTATTTTGGGGGATGTCTTACTTTCAGGGAGACAGTATGCCTGTGTGTGTCTTACATGTGTGTGTCTATCTCTGTGTGTATTTGTGTGTGTGTGCCTGTGTCTGTATGTATCTGTGTGTATTTTGTGTCTGTATTTATCCGTGTGTATTTTGTGTCTGTATGTACCCGTGTGTATTTTGTGTCTGTATGTATCTGTGCGTATTTGTGTGTGTTGCACGTGGCCTCCTCTCCTGTACGGATGCCTGCTCTTCTCCTCCCGGTGCCTCCGACTTACTTGCCCTGCAGGGACAGGTCCTGGTCACCACCAATGCATCCGAGCCATGCTGGCAGGAAGGCGCATCTCTGGGGGGCTTTCCAGAGAAGCAGATGCTGCGCAGAGCTGTGGGAGGCGAGGGGTCCCAGGTGGGAGAAGAGAAGATTGGGCTTAGGACTTGGCTCTGGCCACGCGATGCCCAGAGTCCACTCAGCCCAGGGCTGGTCCCCAGGGCCCTCTCTGACAATGCCGGGCATCTGAGCCTCCTCAGACTTTTCTCGGCTGGATGCCAGAGGTGAGGTGAGGGGTCAGGAGACACTGCCCTGCTCCTGGACCCACTGCAAGCACGAGGCAGCAAAAGCACTGTAGGGTCAGGATGGTGACCCCAGCCCAAACCGTATCTTGAAAGACCCAGAAGAGGGCCTATAAATGAGCATCACTGATGTCTACCTTAGGTCAGGAGCTGTTGCCAACCTAGACACTCCCCCACCCCCTGCCTAGAGCCTAGAGCGTCTCTACCAACGGTGAACCAGAACAGGTGGGCAATGCCAGAGGAGACCCTCCAGGATCTACTGTGAGCCAGAGCTAGTTGAAACCCCAAGTCCCCCAACGGCTGGGCCACAGGACACAGGGGTTAGATGCTGCTTTCCATGGACCTGGCTGCCATGGGGACCCTGTGTATCCCTGAGTGCCCTGCCTCCCAGCCCTGCCATAGCACTGTGATCTCTTGCTACCACTGCCCCCACTGCAGAGCCGTCTAGATCCAGGCGTCTCCTCCAGGGGCGCCTACTGCTGCTGACCCTCCCCTTTACCCACCCCTGTCCTCCCTGCCAACGTGTCCAGCCCAGGCCGCACCGTCCTCGCTGCTAAGGAGCATCCGGGTCTCATTTCTCCCAAGACCGATCCGCTCCTTCTTCCAACGCCTACAACACCATCCATTTCCCTCCCCCACACCACGGATCAAGTCCACGCTCTTCCCAGGGCTCCCTCACGCAGGGCGGGCTTCCCGTGCACGAGCCAGCCTGACTCAGGGGCGCTGCGCTCCCCAAGGCAAACCCTAGCTTGGCCGAACCCGAGGGAGGTCTGCCTGCACACTGGCCCCCATGTCTCCCGTCATGCGGGTGTCTGACTGCTGTCCACGTGGAGGTGACCGACCACCCAAGTAAAAAGCCATCTTTGAGGACTTCGGTGTCCCCTCCAGGGTACACTGCCAGCTGGGTCTCCTGGCTCCAGGAGGGGCTGCTGCTGCTGCTGCCTGCTCACGGTTCTAGGCCAGGCTCCACAGATGCAGGGCTGCTGGGGCATCTGGCACCAGGGTCCCACACAGCAGAGCACAGCACTGCCTGGCCAGCCCTGTGCCAGCCCTGGGGATGGCCCTGAGTAGCTGTGACATATGCTGGGGTTCCCACAGGCTGAGGTGCCCTGGGACCTTGACTAGCCTTCCT